GCTTCCCACGTTTCGCGCGCACGCGGGGTTGGTCAGGGGCGGTGCGTGCGCGCGGGGTCTGCGTGCCAACTCAGCAGGAGCGGTCGCGCGCAGGTTGTGTGCGCTCAGGGGCGGTGCGCGCACATGCCGGGTGTGCGCGCGCGCAGAAGTCCGTCGAAGCTGGCGGCTGTAGCAAATGCCTTTGAACCAATGCAGCCGGCATGGCGGCTGTGGCAAATGCCTACTAAAAACGGCAACCTGCAAGCAAAACATGCGTGAATGGGGGCCCAGACTACGGTGGCACCGGGGTGGGGGCAGCGGCGGCAACCAAATCGGCAATGGGGACCCAGTGTACGGTTGCACCTTGTTGTTGTTGTTGTCGTTGTTGTCTTTGTCGATGTTGACCGTTGGTGTCCTTTGTCGTTGGTCATCGTCATTGTTTTGAGAGTGTTTGTGGTTGTCGTGTCTGCCGTAGGTTTGTTGCGGCTGTTGTCGTGGTCCATTGCTAGGGATGAGCATGAGTCCGTCGAAACTGGAGTTCCCAGGCCATCGATGCTCTTGGAGAGGTATCACGGATGCAAAGGGGGCTTGCGGGAGTCTTTCCGCATGCTGTCTGCGAAGAGACCTGCATTTAATTTGTCGGATCTGGGACTAAGAACTCACCTTAATCTCAAGTTCGGCTGCTACTAAAGCCACGGCTCCTCAGCTGGTGCATGGGTCACCTGGGCAGCGAGGCAAAGAGTCTCTGCCTTGCCGGGGGAGATACCGTGCAGCAGCATCCTTTGCTCATTGCCCCTCGGTCAGAAGGAAGTCTAAGTAAAGGTCTGATGCCTCGTCTAAAGCTTTCAGTGTACTGTCGTGAGCACCCGAGCTAAGGCTCTGACACTTCTGAACCTTTCAGCAGTTCTGGGTGACATTGACCACGACGAGCATGGCTTGCGCTGGGGCTTGGAGGCGGTCTGTTCTCACCGGGGAAATCCTCAAGATGGGCCTTTTCTTTTGTCAGGCCTTGGGTCTGATGTACAATGTCTTCTCAAACGTCGAACTTCCCGAGATGGTCCAGGAGACGCGTCCGGTCAGTTCAGTCGCTTGGCTGCTTGCCCCGAACTCGAAATGACAGGCCTACTATCTGGCCCTGGCCTGCCACAACGCTGCGCTGCTGGATGTGAAGCTGGGGCGCTGGGCAGAAGCGCAGGAGTCCACACAGATTCGTGTGCACTGCACCACCGGAACGTGATATAACGTGGGCAGCTGAACAGGAGCTGGCAGACGAAGGCATCGAGTTCACAAAGGCATGCGCCCAGCAAGTAGATTCTCGAGTTGTTGACCAGAGGTGTGGAGGTTGTTGATTGATACCTGTAATACGCAAACTTGCAGAACTGCTGAGTTTTGGTTCGTGAGAAGACGAATTTGACACTGCGTGACTGCTTCTGTTGCCAAACGTGGGCACATCTACGGGTCCAGGGCCTTCCTGACGTCGATGTATGTTCTTGCGCTTGTTCAGTGCAAACTCGTTCTCGCCGATCATCGAACACTCTTCAAGATGATTCACAGGACACGACACACGCCTGCTTCAGCGTTGCAGCTGCTTACCAGCAAGGTGCTTGGCGAGAACGATGACCACTTGAGAAGCAAGCTCATCAGCATAGGCACGATGCATCGGGGGAAAAAAGCTGCAGCTGCAAGGTGAGATTGGGCGGTTGCATGTATCTGGTGCTGGGCAAACCTTCACTGTACCCTGCCAGGTGCCCAAGCCAAGCACGTGCCAGAGGGTTTCTTGTCAGAGGCGGTGAATGCTCTAAACGGCTGGGGAGAGGAGCTGCTTTGGGCGCAAACTTCAGACACTTTAAGGAGCTCTGGTCTTTTCTGCATTTCCAGGAGCGGGGCGTCTGGAACCTGAGCTTCTGGGACTTCAGCATGCCAGAGATCCAGGAAGTCATCAGGCCTTCTGACGAGCACTCTCTCCTGTGCCTTTTGTCTCTAAAGCAACCTTCATGGACTTTCTGCCACTGGACCTTCCAAGCAGGGTTCTGGAGAGCACTGTGACCCTGAACAAGCTCGTCATGGACGCTCGTCCGTGTTTGGTCTTGAAGACGCGGCGTGCTACTCATGCACAGAAAAGTTCACTCATTCGAGCACCAAGGATCAGAAAGATGATGACAGGCTGGATCGTGACACGTAGAGTTCGTGACAATGCAGATGCAGACGCACCGGGTAGTGCCTGTGCTGCGCCAATCCGGTACAGAACTCATGTATCTCGATGCGAATTGAAGGCGCTACGAGCTTTCGGTTGAAAACCGCAACCTGGTGCAGCTGATGATGGCGGTGTGAGTCCTCAGCTGTGATTTGCTCACGTCAGGCTGAACTGCAGATCTACAGCAACAAATGCCCAAGCATGCCCGATGAGCGCCCGAAATGGATGAAAGGCTTCCAGGTTTGGTGCCCAATGAAAGCCGCAAATTTGGCAAGCCGCCTTTTGCGAGCCTCCACAAGGAGATGTTCATGTTCCAGCTGCTGTCACAGCATCTCAGCTCATCATTCATGTTCATTCTTCCCATTTCTAGCATCAGACATACGAATCTGATGTATCTGAGAATTTTTACGTGGGCCCTGAAAGAACCGTTTGAGCCTCCAGTGGCCTCCCTAGGAGCCTCGGCCTCAGCCCGGAGAGAGATTTCTGAGGTTGTGAGCTGCCACTGCTTGGAAACCGTCACCATCTCAGGACGAGGGATCCGAGGTTTCAGGCTGGGCTTAGGTATGCTTAGGGTAGGGGTCGGTAAGACGGAGCTCATTGCAAGCTCAAAAGCGTGTGCACGTGACCTTGATGCACTGATACCTTCACATCGCTTGTATCGATGAGGCTGTACTTGTACTTGTGCCGTCTTTCGAACCTCCGTTGGGGCTGTTGGGATGACGATGCATTCAGAGAGCGAAGCACTCTCGCAGGAACTGATTATCGACCGAGAAAGGCAAGAGTCTCGCCTCGCGTTTGCTCACATTTCTGCACACTGCTATCTTGGCTGTAGTGCGAGGCTCTGCGAATGATTCTTTCGGGTAGGTGTGGAGGCGTGTGAAGCGGCGTGGCTTCTTGGAGACTTCCTGGTATGTGCAGACCTCGGATGGGCTGCTTCCAGAACTCTGGGTGCCGTCAGTTTTGAACATTCTCTTGAACAAAATGATCGCAAGGCCTCTGCCCTTAACTTTTCCGATGTCTGGGGCGGCGGCTCTCAAATGCCGGAGACTGGCAGGGCTCCAAGCTTCTGACTTGTGACTGTCGGTCCGGTCTTCCAGATTTCGCGAAGTGCTGTTTAGTTCTGCTAGAATCTGCTAGGCAGCACGTCAAGAGTGCGCTGAGGCCCCTATCAAGGGCTCATCGCAGACATCAACCACTTCTCCAAGAGGCCAGGGATGAGGAGCTTCGTCACAGCATCCATAGCCGATGATGGCTTTACTGAGCTTTCTCCTGCAAGTGGGTTGGAACTTCAGGGCTTCAAAGACGTGAGGGTTACTGCAACGATCACTACGTGGTCGTAAGAGCAAGAAGACAGCCCACACAACCGCGAAGGTTGGTCATAGCTCTGCTCATCGTTGCGAACGAGTGCATAGCTGAGGAAATCCCCCTCGGCCCTAGCAGGCGCTGGGGGGCCGAGTGTGTGCGTTTTTCAACCAAGGACAGATGGAATCGACCTCTCAGACAATGGCGAAATCCTTGGCTCATCAAGTGTGGTCCGGCTGTGCCCCGAAATGCCGCCACTGAGGCATCAACGCTGTGAGCATCAGCATGCTGGCCGATGCACTGAACCATCCGGAGAGGCAAGACCTCCGGTGCGTGGTCGATCTGTGGTCGGTCGACGTGGGAAGTATAGACCAGACGGGAGCTTCGACAATCCATCTTGGAGGCTGTCACGCACCCGCGCTTGCCGGTCTCTCGTGTTGCGGAACAATGCGACTTGGCTCTCTTCAGGATCTACTGAATGGTTTCAGCACCCACGGTCTACTGAAAGGTTTCAGCACCCGCCCTCGCTCGTCTCGAACACCCATTTGGGCCCCAAACGTTTTCCGTCGTCTCGCAGGCGGTGCCGACTCCCCAGGTCCCCAGGTGGCTCCTAAGACTGGAGTCCTTTTTCTGCCCATATTGCCATATAATATCACATAGATATGTTTTGGCAGCCTATAGGCTCTCTCTCTCTCTCTCTCCCGCTCTCTCTCTCTCTCTCTCTCTCTCTCTCTGCGCAAGGACTTCCCTTGATCCGTTCTCATAAATGTGATGTTGGTTTCAACAGGGTCTCAAGATTCTTTGCACATCTCGGGCAGCATTGACATGCAGATTCTTCTGAATCCAGCTTGCATGGGCTTTTGTGCTGCATGGTTTAGATATTTCGGACCTGGTAGCAACGTCGCTGGTGAGTCCAGTTCCTCTCATGGGCCAGTTGGCATTTCGTTGAGTTCTCGAAATTCATACTGCGTGCGGAAATAGGGACCTCGCTCTGCTAAACCCGATAGTCCCGCTAAGCCCGATAAACCCGATAGGCCCGATAAGCCCGACACAGCCAGGACGGCGGACAACTCCGATAAACTCGAGAAACCCAGTTCTGATATTGAAACCTGGGGCGCCCCATCAGTCCAAGTCTCCATCCTAGGAGTTCAAGGCTTGTACGAGTTCTGATTTAAAAAATCAGTGGCGCCCAAAAGAGTTCTGAGTCAAAAATCAGAGACGCCACAACTTCAATGCCCGGGCCCCCCGGTGCCAAGGACCTGGACCCAGCAGCCGCCGGGCACTCATTTGGACAGCAGCTTTGATCGAAGCTCGTTGAACAACCACGTCTACATCGTCGCGCTTGGTTCTCCTCATTTGTATCTGTGTTCTACGTGCTCCGACTACTCCCGCACTGTTTCGGCAATTAGGAAGCACCCTCCTTGCAACTGTGGCCTTTGCTTGAGAAGGGCAAGAGAACAAACAATTTTTGCATGGAAGTTGAAGCTATTTGTAGGGGCCCTTGCGGGTTTTTTGGAGCGTAGTGTGACCCCACCTGAGGCTTCCGTTCTCGCGAGAATTTGGCCGGAGCCTTACTCGCAGCACCGCTCGATTTTTGCAGTTCCGCATTGCGCATGAGACGATCTTCGATCTTCGGGCTAGCAGCTAGCATATATTTTCACTGAAGTACCTCCCCCATTGCTGCTGCCTGACTGAAATGGCTTGCGGAGATTTTGCGGATGTTGGCTTGGACTTTCGTTTCTTGAGTTGTTGTTGAATGGTTGCACGTGCTGCGAGAAAGGGACTCGGTGCAGCAGCACGACGAGGGCAAGGCAAGGAATCGGAGAGCCATGAGCAGCCAGCGAGCAGCTAGACATTGCGACCTGCGGCACCTGCGTCCGAGGAAAGTGTATATTGTTAAATAGCTATGCTCAAGGTGACGATGATGCTGATGACCAATATCATCATCATCGTGTCATTTCGCAGGAGACCCCAGACACCGATGGCGATGGCTTCGAGGATGAGGACGAGGCCATGCTAGGAAGCGTGTGAGTCTTTGCCCAGGAGTGTTCTCCGCTTCCAGGAATATGATCCCGACGCTGAGAGGGAGGTACGTCCGAGCCAGCTCGGGGGGAGGGGCAAACGACGAAAAGCTTTTTGGGACATTCTGTAGCTATCACCGTCCCCGCACTGCCGCTTTGCAGAACGAGACTCTGGGCGTCACCTCTCTGGATGTGTGCGGGGCACAGCTTCCATGTCTCAGTGCGATACGATCCTGAGAAGGCTCTCCCTTGTCATGTTGGATCTTTCTCCACCCTTTCAAACGAGTACACGTAGCAGGCTGTACAGCGATGTTTCGATATGATGCATGTAGCCCGGCATCGTTGGCACGTTCTGGCGTTTGCAGAGTCGGAAGCCACGATTTTCCACGGAGATTCCGGATCACCCCATGACCACTTCGAAGCAAACTACACGGATCGGCCAGATGCTGCAGTTGCAGGGAAAGCCTTTCTTTGGACTTAGTGAAAATTCATTTTCGGCGCGGATCGCTCCTCGAGTTAGAGTAAGCTCAAAAGCCCAAAGCTGTCAGAAAATCCAGGCTCCAACTGTTCTTGTGTGTAGCTGCAGCACTTGATCTGCGACCACTTGGCGCGGGAGGTCGCAGAACACGAACATCGGCGATGAAGGCGGCGTTTGCGGAGCATGATTAGAGAGCTAGGGGAGGCGCGATCTGTCTACTCTAATCCATGACCACTGTCTGTTGAGGCTTTAACGACCTTCTGCAGGGGATGTCTCGCTATCGCCGCTTCCAGGCAAGCTCCAGTCATGAGTCATGGCCGTTGGCCCTTTGCCGTCAGTATTGAGTGTGAGGGTGCTACGGGTGTGATGGTTGTGACGATCGGGATGATGACGCTGGAAGTGAAGTAATGACGACGAGGTGGTGACGATTCCAATTGTCATCGTTGCTGCGGTGTCGGCAGCTTGCATGCACAATCCTTCTTCATTGTCATTCTTGCGGATGCTGGCTGATGTAGTGCATAGTTTTCGCACCGAGCGTTTCGGATTTAAGCTCTATGCTGCTTTATCACCATCTTACTCCTCTTCGTTGCCACTGTCGTTCCGATCTTGGAATCATGGCGGTCGTTCTCTTTGGTCAGTCTACTTGCCTTGGAGTTGGAGTTGTTCTCGTCTTCGTCGTCGTCGTTGAAGCTGTTGAGCTGTTGCGACTCCGCTATCTGCGAATGTTATTGTGGTTGGCGGTGGTGGTGTGATCGCTTTGTTACTTTGGCTTGTGCCTCGGGAGAGATGATCCCCGTTGTCACGACAACCATCACACGAAAGTCATATTTGGATCGCTTTTTGATAGGACAATCTGCACAGCGTGGTAGCTGCCGGGTGGTCCATTTTGGCAAGCATCTGCATTCGCACATCAGCTCGAGAGCCATAGGGCGATCCCTCCGAAAGCTTTCAGGTCCTGAGGGCAGAGAACATCAGCCGGGAGCTCTGGCCCGTAAGCAATCCGCAAACTGCACAGTAATGTTCAGAATGCTTGGCGGTCGTTTTTAGAGTTGAGAAGATCGCCACAGTTTTGCTGGGATATTTTGAGAGAACATGTGACACGTGTGCTTCCGGAAATGCATTCAAGCGGAAACAGCGGCACCAAGCACAGTCGTGGACGCTTCGCATGAACCGCAGACCAGACTCTGAAGAGTCACTGGTCTAGTGCATGCACAACAAGTACAGCCAACCTCGCCGTCTCGATTAGAGCATCAGCTCCAAATGCCCCTTGCACTATCAAGGCCTCACCGCCGCGGGCTGCTCCAGAATCGAAATCTTGGAGCAGACGAGGTCTCCCCTTGGGATCATTCACTGCCGCACGTTGCGATTCGCTGCGATTCCCATAAGCAGCGCTGGAGGCTCGACACGCTCTGTCTCTCCAACAATGCCACTGGGACTGCAAGAGTTCAAGAATCATCCCAAAGCATTCGCCCTTGGGCTGAGGCACTGGGCTGCCAGGGAGTGGCCACCGTGTGCCAGGCTCTTGCCAGGCCCGGCAACCACCGACGACTCGGAACAGAGCCGCTGGATATTTTGGGACTTGTTCAGGTGCTCTCGGCTACGCCTCCTGGAGCTCGACGGCTGCGGCATCAAGCTGGAGCCTACTTAGGCTTAGGGAAAAACGCCCGCCAGTCGTAGAAGGTCAAGCAGTGCTACGGAGTATCGCGCGGCTGTGCAGCTGTGCAGGAGGGCGCCAAGGCACTGCGAGAGCTGCTTAGGCCGGGTCATTTCCTTCTGACGTTTCCGACCCGCTGAGACCTGAGACAGTTCTGAGCATCTCAGCAGGGAGCACATCCGAATCCAAGAAATCTCTGTGGCCAACAACCAGCACGGATCTCGGCACGCACCATCTCAAAGAGCACAGCTTTGCGTCATTCGCTGCGCTGTGCCGCCCGAGGCTTGGAGACGATGGCGGCGTGGAAGTCTGCATGGGCGTGGCGGAATCCAATTCACTGAAGTGCGTCAACCTGGTGCGCCGTGGGAGGGGGGACAGGAACAGAACAGAGAAAGGAGGAATTGCCTAGCTGCACGCTTAATAGTCGATGACGGATCAGCCGTCTGCGAAGACTCCGAAAATCCGAAGGCGCACAACGGTATCTTCAGCGACTCCGCGGCTGAGACCATTGCAGACATGATGAGGACGGGTGTATGCAAGTACTGCTTGCTCTGCCTGGTCTGTCGTGTCTGCTCCAAGCAGAACTTGCACAGCGGTTTCTCAGGACATGCCAGACCCTCGTGAAGCTCGTGCTGTCCGGCAACCACTTGGACCACGTGGGCCCATCTCACATAGGCCCGAGGAATGCACGCAGCGTGCACCTATCATGGACAGTCTGCTGTTTGGTACAGGATGTATGCAATAGTTAGTATCCCGGTGTTGGCTGACAGAAGCTATCTCCAGTTGAAGAGAAAGAAGCTCGCAGCAGAGGCAGTGCCATCGAACACAGCCGCGTGCTGACACTGCAACTCGAGGAGCTACGAATCGAAGCCGAGGGGGGGGGGCTCTAGATGGAGATTTTTGCTGACATACAGATTGGATTGTGTCACGCAGGACTGCTTTAATTTGTCCTGGCAAGTCTGCTTAGTTGTATTCGCCGCGGGCAGCGGCAGCAGCAGCAGCATCCTCATCACCACCATGATGATTCGGATGATCATGATGATGATGATCATCATCATCATCATCACACCCTCATCACCTACAGTGTTGCTTGCCATTCTCATATCTCGCCTTTTTGCCGTCTCCCAACAACCTCGCATGCTTTCTCATAGAATATGGTTGTCGAACGCTCGCCAGGTGGAGACAGCGAAAAACCCGGCCAAAGCGTTCCCGGGCTTCTGTTGCAGGACATGGGTTTCACCGCTGACTCCATGGACGACTTCCTCGACCAGGGTGCCGCCGAGACTCAGGAGCCGGCCGTTGACCTGCCCAGGTTGTAAGTGCCGGCCCCTGTTGCAGTTGCTACGAATACGTACTGCTGCTGCGACGCTGCGACGACGACGGCGAAAACGGATGACGACAATCCAACGACAGCAACTACTGTAACTACTTCTCCTGTGCCGCTGTCGATGCTGCTGCACCTGCTGCTGCTGCTGCACCTGCTGCTGCTGCACGTGCTGCTTCTGCTGGTACTGCTACTGCTGCTACTGCTGGTACTGATACTGCTGCTACTGCCACTAGTAGGTTAGTAGGCCCGCCCACCCCGCGAACCAGACTTGGCCTAGCCTAGAGCTTCTTAGTAGCACCTCCATTCTACAGGGTATCTGAGGCATTCCCCATTATCCTATCATCTTTGGTGTAGCAGCTTCTTCTCCGTCAAGTTTGTAGTTCCAAAGACGATCATTCGGTATGTACGGTGGTGTACTGGGGGTTGGCGACAGTTGAACGACACTGCTGTGCTACTGCTGCGTCTTCAAACAACCTGCTATTCCCACCTCTTGAAGCTTGTGAGACTTCCTTGTAGAGTCTGCCGGAGGACTTGCAGGAGTTGGTGATCAATGGCAACCCGATTGGAGATGATGCTTGGCTGAAGACAGTTCAGCAGTTCAGCCTTTGCCGTCACACGAACCAAGGAGGGATTGGCCATCATAGCCGAAAGCTTTGCGCACAGAGCGGGCATGCGCTTTGTTGTCTCCTCCGGTGTGGCGGTAATCCTCAACCGGAAGGGTGTCGTGGGCGGCGATGTCCCGTGTTCTGTGTTGGCAATATCGTAAGACAGACATTGCAACACAATTATCCGTATGCTAGTCAGTGCCTGAGGCCTTTTGGTGGAATGAAGTCGTCAACAGTTGTCTGCAGTACCGGTATTGGCGACTGCTTGTTCTTGATTAACGTGACTCTCGTTGCACTTCTAGGGACAGGCAAAGAAACTCAACCCAGCCCCTCAAGGCCTGAGCATCGGCTTGATCAACCTGCGGATGTCCAAGTGTGGGCTCACCAAAGCCTCGCAGGCTGCGTCGGAAATTTGCAGAGATGCGTAGGGCCTTCCGAAGCCTGCTTCGAGGGATAGCACACGCGCGAGGGGGATGCTTTCGGCCGGCATCGCGTGCATCTTTTGTTGGCCTCAGCAGGAGCAAGTCCGTAGATGCGCCGATGCACCCGGCAGGCAATGCTCTTGAGCCTCGTGTCCTTGTCCCCGAACCTACAGCGCGTGGGCCTCTGCCATGAAACATGCTTGGAAGTCGTGTTGGCACTCTTCTACTGGTTCTTCGACACGTCTTTTGCACACGGACCAGAAGCTAGCCCATAACCACATGGAATCATCTTATTGCGTTGATCCATAGAAACCTACATAAAATGACGAGTGCAATGACCGGCAGAGGCTGTATGTAGCGTGAGCTGATCAGCTAGTCACTACTCACTGTGACATGGTCGTTGAGGTCTGGACGTGTCGTACAACGACCTGGGGCCAGAGGGATGCGCCTTGCAAGCAACCCGAAGCCTAAGAATGCAAGATCACACGGTCGACCTGCCAAGTGCGCATTGAAATCAACCTTCAAATGTGTTCTGCCTCTAGCTTTCTGATGGCTCGCTGTTTCGCGCCTGCCGAGGCTCTGACATGGTAAAGTGGATGGATCAGAACGACAAGGTAGCTGCAACCTTGAGGGTTCATGCCATTGTGACGTCCTTTTCAGACAAGGGAAAGCACTTCCTAGCTGGTGTATGCTGCGATGGATCTCCAGTAGCAAAGATCTCTCTCAAGCACTGAGGTTGTAAGTTTGTGCAAGTCTTGCAGAGCGGTTGTGTGTCGAGCAGCAGATGCCACAATCCTCTGGTCGCTGCAGGAGTCGTTCTCACTGAACTACTTGGAGATTTCGGGCTGCTCTTTGGGGGATGAAGGCTTCAAGCAGCTTGCCCGGCTCCCAGTTTCTGAGATTCTCGCCATGACGCCAAGTTAAACGAACCAGCAGGTCGCAGGCTTTCATTTCGTGACTTCATGCGTTCGAGAGAGTCTCTGCGACGTCTTGCAAGGTACCTGTGCTGGGCTCACTGCACTACCTAGGCACGTGGGCTGTTGGCCGTTCGCTGCGCGATCCTATGCCCGTTGCAACTGCATGCTTATTCGGCACCAGTACACCAGGTCATGCCTCTGTTTCCACGGCTCATTGTCGTCATCAACCAACTGTGCTCTGTGAATCCTTCACACTGCAGTCTAGTTCGAACGTCGAAAGAAAGACTTTGCGCCCAGCATGTCGCATGGATGGTGTCGGGTCCAAGTTCCCAGGCCAAATTTGCAGCCCGAATGAGCCTGGTATGGTATCAGTTATCGATCGCCGTTGCTGGCAGTTGCTTGCACACCGAAAGATTGCACGCAGGCCTTCGCGACAACGGCATCACGTCCGCAGGCCCGCTGTCGAAAGCTGTACGGCTCAAGAAAGAAGTTTCAATTATAAGGTTCTACATTGATTCTCCTGTCACCGACCGTAATTTCTTCAAAGATGCATGCGTCTGGTCGCAGGCCTGAAGTCGGTAATGAGTGCAAACCAGCCGGCATCCCAGCAGCGGATGTCTTGCGGGGTTGTTGAAGGTTTTGAGGTGGAACAGGTGTCCAGCCCAGGCCGGTCATGTGCCTTCGGAGCATCTCAAGCCTTGCTGAAGGATGGTCAAGCTACAGACACTTGATCTCGAGGGCAACCGGATCGGAGAGCTTGCCCGGCCTGTTGAAAGCCCGGGACACAATCAGGTCCTGTGGGTTTGGCATTTCGAGAGAGATGGCGGCAGAAGATGATTGAGTCGCACATTCCCTTCACGTACTGCGCTCTCAACCCAGTTTACACAAAGCACCACTACAGCGTCGGCTCTAAATGTACATGCTCGTGGGTACCACCTCTTCCAGAGGTGCGAGTCGGAGAGTGACAGCCCTTTTCAGAGCTCTCTCGTGCTCAGGCTAACTCGAGATTTTATCGATCCTCCGTGATGTTGTTGTCGAAATCGCTGTGCCAAGGAAACATGCCTTGATGCAAGTGAAGCGCGGAGTTTACATCGAAGCATGCAGAATATTCACAGCTTGAAGCAGTGCCTGAGTCAAACATGTGATTGAAGCGGGTGGAGCTGCAATGGATCAGATGAAAAGTGGTGCAGGGAGGCTGAAAGCTTAAGTGCAAAAGCCGGCCGGAGATGGATAATTATGGATAGCCCACCCGGACGGCATCATTGCGACCTCCGCTGAGGGCAGATGGAATGATCCCCGCGGAGGTTCTCTTGCGCACAACCTGTAAAGCAGATGGATGCATTACCACATATTGAAAGGGAGCTGAGCAGGGAATGCTGGCTTCAGTTCTGGGGATAGCTTGGGAGGCACGCAGACATTCGTTCTGCGACGCCGCAACAGGCATAGAGCCTTGCACGAAGGACGAATGGGGCCCGTCCATGTCACAGCATGCGTGTCCATACGTATCTGACGTATCGCTACATAATCATATATAGTTGCATACACACCCACACACGCACGCACACACACATGCACGCACACAAACCATTTCCGTGGAGCCTTTCGACGCCAGGCCTGGCCTTCATGCTCTTACTGAGCGTTTTCAGAAGGCAGGGACCTTGTGTGCACGTAGAGAGAGAGAGTGCGGGCTTGCGTTGTGATGTGGCCTTGTCCGGACTCCGAATCATACCAGGGTTTTGGAGTGAGTCTGAAGACGCATGCAGGGTCAGAATGTAGGGCCCAGGGCCTGAGAGACTGAATCCTGGGAGGAGCACAAGCGTTCCCTCTGGAACCCCAAGCAGCTCACTTCCATGATCGACCTGGAGCCGGCCTTAGCTCGCTGCTCTGCGACACACTCTAAGAGTGCGCTACCGGATACCGTGAAGCAGATCGTGCATTTCACTGGAGCGAAGGGGATTCTGCGGAACGCTCCCGGAGACTTCGACCATGCCGACTAAATCCTCCAAGCCGAAGAGCTGTAGCTGCTTCGGACTTCATTCTCATGCATGCTGATCGTAGCTGCTGGGAGTCGGATTGAAGGAATAGCAGGGGCAAGGTGTGAACAACTTCTTGGCATGTTCAGAGTTCAGCATCCTCACGAGGTGATCTTGCGGAACAACGACATCTCGCCTTCTGAATGCACTTGGATCCGATTTCGTGATCGGCTTGGGGTTGAGCTCCGAATTCCCCTGCCCCAGCGGTGGGGGGGGGGGGGGATCTGCTGTGAAGCTGAGCACTCCCCCTAGAGCGAGCCCCGTAACCCGTAGCCATCAACATCCGCTATCAAACAAGGGCTGCCCAACCCCGCGCTTTTGGTGTCAGGCCAGCCTTGGCTGCCTCCACTGAGGCCAGCTCCGAAGTCACCTCAAAGGGGCTACATGTAGGTGTGTAGGTCCCGGTGTGCGGCTCTGTGTGTGTGTGTACGCATATCATATCATATAATATCATATCATATAATGTGTATATATATATATAGGTATGTGTGTGTGTGTATGTATGCATGCATGGATGGATGTATGTGTATGTGTATGTGTATGTGTATGTGTATGTCTATGTGTATGTGTGTATATATATATGTATATATATATATGCACACACACACCTAAAACAGCCTCATATTATATATGCGTACATAATCTGTACATATATATATATATATGTAGTACAAGTATCTATATACCATATATGTATGTACGCACGTACTGTATGTAAGTACGCATGTGTATGTAGGTATGTGTGGGAGCACGTGCTTGTGTGTGTGTGTGTGTGGGGTTGCGTGTACTTTGGTGCATTCACACATACTGATACACACATGCCTACATGCCGACATACGATCATACCATACGAACATACATGCCTGCATGCATGCAAGCATGCATACATGCACACATCCTACGTCTGCATACATCTGCAGATACACTCAGCTATCAACATCTTTTTCCATCCACCTGTCCACAAAAGTTATCTGTCAGTTTATCTACTGCATCTATCTATCTGTTTGTTTGTTGATCTATTTATCCGGCTGTTTGTCCGTTCGTCCATCTGTCATAATGCCGTTTGGGCCAGGCAGGTGCTTGTCTTTGCCCCTGCTGAACACGACTGCGATACTGCATGTGTTTCATTGTGCCCTGAGCGGAATTTGCCCAGTTGTCCTGCACGGTGTCGACTTGGTCGTCACACTCCAGAGTGGCTTGCCATCGGCATCGTGCCAGGAACCTCCATGTGAACCTTGTGAAGGGTGCTTGCGCCGTGTGTATGATGCAGTTCACTGTCCCCCGAGCGCCGGGTTATGGTTCTGTCAAGACAGCGATCTTTTTGCAAGATTGCCACTTTCTGGGCAGCCATTCCTCGTGCAGAGCTGCAGAGTTGGTCGCGCATGGGGGTTTCTTCCCAAGGGATGCAGACTCGCAGTTAGAAAGTCTATCAGAGTCGGGAGGTTCATTCCGGACCGAAGCTGCCTTCCCCAGCTCGGAGTTGCAGGCCTTCGTGAAGATCTATAACCCGCTGATGACCATCGTGTGGTGAGGTCTGCTAAGCGATCTATGCCTATGGGTGTAGGCATTCATTGGCTAAGTCGTTGCCGGAAGACTTGTCTCAGTGCATAATGTTGCTATTTTTCACCTTGTGGCCTTGTTGCGTACATCGGCTACCGTTGTCTGTCATGGATGTTGCCTTACTAATCAGCTGTGATGCTTGCAGAGTTTCCCGGCAAAGCCAGGTGACCTGCTTGTATCAAACAAATGGATTTCTCTTTCTTTGCCTTTGGGCTGATGACTCTTACAGACACTCTTTATTGGGCTGAGGTCCTGAAACTTCGCGTGATTCTAGCCTCGGATGTCTCCGCATACGGTCATTGGCCTCGCGCGCATGTGCTCTTTCTCTGCCCTTCCAAAGCGAAGGAGACTTGGGGATCGAAAAGCGATCGGCACAAAATTCAGTCTCTGCGACAAACCTGTTGTCTGATGAGCTATGCATCTTGTCCTCACCTCGCACACCTTCTCCGATGCCATTTCGGCTTAAAGATAAGCTGGACATCTCACAGCATGACAGAAGCGACCGCTGTGATACGCGACCAATCTGGCTACATCAATGTCTCTTTAAAAAAGGACATGTGCACCCGTATGACCCAGCCCAGCGTTTGCTCCATCCTTCTGAAGCGCAGGAATTCGATGAGTCCTTGCAGTTCACTGGCCGGATCGGCGGTGGTTTCTTGTTCGAACTTAGCTTTCGCTTGGCGTACTCGGTAGGTGGCAGGAAGTCAACTGGGTCGCAGGGCCTCAACCATCTGCTGTACAGGTCGTGCATCTTGCTCGTGCAGCAAGTTGCTTTCCATCTCACCAAGGTCTGTTGCTAGACCTGCGTCGCCGCACCCCACTCTACCTCAGCGATTGGACAGATGCCTTCATTTCGGGGAGACTCGGACCGTCATGTCACCGGCAGCCTTCACAGCTGTTGTTGCTGGGAGTAATCCAATCCAGGATTGCAGAGTTCTTTGGCCTTGAGTGAGCGTTGAGGAACCTCCAGAAGACAGTGACGACGATCGTGTATCTATTTGCAGCAGCACTAGCTCCAGCAGTCACGCCGCTCAGAGATGAACGGGTGGATGGTGCGTGAATGGAGCTCTACATTCTTCTGGATGGAGTTCGTGTCTGTGGACATTGTAGCATGATCTGCTTGCTAAGCGCGATGTCAATCACCCCTTGTCGGGGCAAGCATATTGCGCCCTGACTTGGCATGCGATCCGAGGTTTGGAAGCCAGTTTTATGATGGAACCCGTGGCCAGTTCGGTGTGCCTTGAAACGGTTAGAGCTGTGCGCATGCGCTCGTTCAGCAACCCTCTATCCCAGATCTCTTAAGTACACGACTTCGACTGAGTCAGAATCAGCTCGATGTATTAAAAAGAAATTATATTTCCAAAATTTCAAAACAAGCCTGGCCGGTGTTTGGCCGAATCGTTCTAGAACCCTGGAAACATGTGAAAGGTGGCAGAGATGATCCTGTCCACTGCGCTGAGCGGAGTGATATGCTCCTTGTTGCTCGGCTCGCTGTACGTGGAAGAGGAGGTTCTGATGAAACAGCATCAGCTCAATTCTTTCCACGCTGGCTTAGTTTCTCGTGCTTTAGTTCTCGCACTTGCCAAATAACTCTGAAGAAGCTCGGATTTCACAGCCTGGTGCCAGTTGCCGGGCCCAAAGCCAAGACTCCTAATGGCCTCGTAGTTGTTTTCATGAGCTTCTTCACCTCATCCTATTGCGGAGGTTTGCGGGCCAGCCGCTGGCCCTGGTAGGCCCAACGGGGCCCTTCCTGGCATACACGTTGGTTTGTTATGACCTCGCCATGGCTGCAGCTCGGCTGGGCAGGTTGTGCCGCTGGGGTTGCCGTGTTTTGCTTTCAGTCACTTTATCTTCTGATGCTAGCCCTGGCATTCGCGATTGTACTAGTTGCGACATGCGCCATCGAACACATTCCATCGTCGATTTTGTAAATCAAACAGATCATGAGGAGACACTGTTCCCTGAGATACAAGCTGCAGGTGGACCTGGAGTTCCTTCCCTTCTACTTCTGGGTGTGCATGTGGTGTGCCTTGTTCACCATCCTTGTGGCTATCTTGGACCTCTGTGCGCTGATGAAGTATGTCACCTTGTTCACAGAGGACCCGCGAAGCTTTGAAAGTCGTCGAGAGCCTGTCCCAACTGTGACGGTGTTTTTGTGGCTTTGCTGTTCTTCTCCACAATCTAGGCCTGTGGTGGAACACTTGGAAGTGATGATGACAATGACCATGGTGATGGTGATGGTGATGATGATGCTGTCGGTGGTGGTTGTGGTGGTAGTAGTGGTGGTGGTGGTGGTGGTCGTGGTCGTGGTCGTGGTCGTGGTCGTGGTCGTCGTGGTGGTGGTGTTGGTGGTGGTGTTGGTGGTGGTGGTGGTGGTGGTGATGCTGATGATTTTGATGACGACTATGATGATTGTGATCATGATTATGAGCTAGACCCTGATCCTCCTGATGATGATGATGATGATCAATAATACCGTGACTACTTGTACAGTATTACTCTCTTTAATATGTCCGCCGTCATCATCACCCAGCGAGCGGTTGATGATGGTGGTGATGATCACGATGATGCTGCAGAGGGCGAGGATGAAGAGCGTGCTGAGCACAATGGCTTCTTCTGGCTACACCCATTATCATTGGGATCCCCTGGCTCAACATGCAAATTTGGGGTTCAACATGCTGCGGGGCAACATGCATTTGTGGGCTTCCGAGATGCAAACGGCTGGGGTCGTGGTACAATAGTATACAAGCAAATAGCAAAGTACAAACAGTAAAATAGTAAATAGTGGAATAGTACAGTTCTGAAATAGTAAAATAGTAAAATCCTGGCTCAACATGCAACGTTTGGTTTCCGAGATGCAAGCGGCTGGGGTCGTGGTAGAATAGTACAAAAGTAAATAGTAGAGTAGTAGATAGTTAAATAGTAAAATAGAAAAAAAATCCTGGCTCAACATGCAACGTTGGGTTTCCGAGATGCAAACGGCTGGGGGTCGTGGTAGAACAGTATAAAAGTAAATAGTAAAGTGTAAGTAGTAAGTAGCAAAGAAAAGTGGAATAGTACAGTACTGAAATAATGAAGTAGCAAAATCGCAACTTCCTGGCTGAACATGCAACGCTGGGTTTCCGAGATGCGAACGGCTGGCGGTCGTGGTAATAAAGGTAAATAGTAAACTAGTAAATAGGAAAATAGCAAATAGTGGAATAGTACAATACCGTACTGAAACAGAAAAATTGTAAATCCTGGCTCAACCGGCACAGGTGGGTTTCCGAGATGCAAACGGCTGGGGCCGTGGTAGAATAGTATAAAAGTAAATAGTAAAGTAGTAAATAGTAAAATAGTAAATAGTGGAATAGTACGGTACCGTACTGAAATAGTAAAATTGTAAAATCCTGGCTCAACCGGCA